GATTTTCCTTCTTTTGTAAAACATAAAAGAAGACAGGACTTGAGGTTGAACAGTTCATTTTTTAACAGCATTTATTAATCTAGATAATATATGGCAATTCATCTTTAATAATCTATAATATGGTATTCATAATTCTAAATCATAACTACATAAATATAATAAATTCATACTAAATGAATATAATACATATGCTATTGTTCATTGTTCAAAATAAATTTTTAACTATTGTTCATTTAAACTCTTAAGACATTTTAAAATTGTAAATGTAAAAATTAACATTAACCAAGTTTAATGAGTACTAAATATTGTTTATTGTTAGTTCATGATATCTACATTAACTAATGTTAATAAGTTGAACCTTATTGAAAAGTTTAATCACTTTAGACTAAAATTTTTACACTTTTAGTTTGTAATGCTAACTTAGATTGACGGTAGGGGTGTCTCTGTCAACCTGCACTGTAGAGTAACATATGTTGCACAATTTGACTCAATCTCAGTTGTGGTAATTGCAATGAATTACGTTACAGAAAAGAGAGAGTGAGAACATGACATGCAGTCTCACTTCCATGTTTTAAGCTCCCTCTTCTCCTGTAACATCAGTAATTCTCAACATCTTGAAGTGTGTCCAGTTACAGAGTGAAAGTGAGCTGCTCTAGAAAGGATATGAAGCTTCCTGTGCAGACTGAGACCCGGGCTGCAGGTGCCCTGTTAGGATCCGTCTGGCTCTGGAATCCTGGCCTGTTCCATGAAAACACAGATAAAGCGCACATAGAAAAGAGAATCTATTTACAATGGCCAAGAACTGTTTGCCATTAAATATCCCTCATGTGTCTGAGCCATTAGAAGGTGCTGGCGGCCAAACAGATGTTTCTCTGGCTGTAGCGTGAGCTTTGGCATCTTCTGTCCTCATTCCTGCTCCGCTTCCTTCTGCAGTTGTGCGAAGCCTCCAGAGAGCTTGCTGGGGCAGATGAGAAACGGATCAGCATTCTACAACTGCTAGAGTCATTCGAGTCACCCCCCAAAAAAGACTCTTCTCTACACTGTAAAAAAAATTCCGTAAAATTTTACGTAATTTTTACAGTCTTTTACCATTAAATTCACAGTCATTTTTTACAGTGTAGCTCTCCCAGAGGAACAAAGTCAACCTCTTGCTTTTGTGGCCGATAATCCTCTTTCCTGTGTGAAGTAATGCTGGTGATAAAGAATCTCAGCAATAAGGAGCATAAGCCTAGTGATGCTGTCATCCTACGCCATGGGTCTATCTTCCACAATCTGTTTATGATAGGCACTGCATATCTCACCATCTAATTAGCTTTGCAGACGAGCGCAGTCAGCACCGTGAGACTGACAGCTTGAATTAAAAAAAACATGGAGTAATTCTAAATGTTTGCAGCTGTCTTGTGCTGTGGCCTGCGCGTAAAATCTCAACCTATCCGCACTCTGTCTTATTTCGTAACAGCCTGTAGTACAATGTGTTAGTGTAGGATGAACTGCCAGTGCTTCTCTTTCGGTTTGTGTACTGCATCAAGTGGATGTTTTGTTTACAAGATAATACATTTTCTGGCCCCCTGCTGTTGTAAACAAAATCTAGTTGTCACAGCTTGGCGGTTAGTTTTTATACTCAACTCAAGTTTGAAAGTTCTTCCAGCACTGTGCCTCAAACAAACTCTATACTATATTTTTTTATGATAAATGATAAGAATTTAAGTAAAAACATTTTTTAAGTATATATATATATTTTTTTTTTTTCAATTTCAACAGGAAAGAAATGCTTAAGTAAAATTATATGTCATTTTAAGATGAATGCCATTTTCCTTAAATGTTACTTTGCTTTTGAATTTGTCTGCCAAAATCAAGCAAGTATAAATTGAAAGAAAGTATTAAACTGAGCATATTGCACCTTTTTTTAGTGATGTTCAAAACTTTGTTTATTAAAGTTCACCTCTTTAATAAAAATGTCCTAATAATACCCAGTATCCTGAAACCTGTCATAAGTAATTGTTAAACTTTAAATTCAACAAATATTATAGCTGTTTGACAATTGAATATAGTTGTTTATATTCTGTTTTGTCAACCATGTTTACACTTGAGTCAGGTTTGTCCCTATTTAGCAATGCTATAATTGAAATGTTTTTATGAAGTCTTCACAAGGACAAATATGGACCATAACTGTGTCTACACTGAAATGGAATCACTGGCATGTAAAGGTTAGCATAATTTGAGTTTATTTTGGCTTGTTAATTCACTCAAATGGACATCAAAGTTGGGAGATTTAAGTCATTGTGACCTGTGAGAACTGTATTGTTTACTTCAGGTGTTAAAATTTAATTTCTAACAAGAAAAAAAACATCTTTTAGCGAGAAGTATTCCGTTTAGATCGTAAAGTACAAATTCCCTGAAATAATGCTTAAGTGTAGTAATGAAGTACGATTACTCAAGTTCTTTACAGCCCTGCTGAAGCCTCCAGCAGGGTTACGGCAAAGAAGCGGTGATCAATATGAATTTTTGCACTTTTGCACTTGCGTTCTTATCCCTTTTCTTTAATCAAAGCCAAAGTATAAAGAAAGCTTGAGAGTTGATTTACTGCACCGGCCTGTCACTCTTTATCAACTTTCTCAATGGGAAGAGACAAAAGTCCGAGAGCCCCCAGAGCTCAGGAAGACTGGGCCAAATGGCCTCTAATGGTCGCCTTTTTCTAGTCGTGATTTAGATGGTGGCCCAGTCCGCTGCTCACCCAGCATTCCCCTCTCCTCCATTCCGGGGTGCTGTAAGTGTGGGGTTACGAAGAACATAAAGCTACCCACCGTCTGCATTCTTGCCCGGCCCACTGGCCTGTCACAGTCTGCTCCTGATTTAAGGCATTCCGCTACAGTGGCCTCTATAAATTTTAAAACTAATTCGCTCCTCTACCGGGCTTTCTGTTTTTGTAACAGGCCCTCGGCTCGACGAGGCCACTGACACTTTTATGAAGTGCTCCAAATGAGAGTCAGATTAAAGGTAGACCCCTTAATGCAGGAGGCCTGTGAGGAGCGAGCGAGGGGTGTCTGATGTAAATGTATCGGAGAGGAATCAGCATGGTGCAGACTGATACCTACCCTGACCAGGAGAGATTTATTCATGCCAGTTTTAGGGGAGACACAGAGTGGGAGCTTGAGCTGCCTCCATGTCAACTGGCATTTTATACCTGTCCTAAAGTAAACACGCCTCTTGGTTTACAGCCAATTAAATTGTACTTAAGCCTGTAAGTTTACATTAGTAAACATGTTGGAGAGTTTGAGGAGGCCCAGGGCCACGGTTCACTTTGAACCAGACGTCTTCCTCTCCCGGCCCACTGGCCTGTCACAGTCTGCTCCTGATTTAAGGCATTCCGCTACAGTGGCCTCTATAAATTTTAAAACTAATTCGCTCCTCTACCGGGCTTTCTGTTTTTGTAACAGGCCCTCGGCTCGACGAGGCCACTGACACTTTTATGAAGTGCTCCAAATGAGAGTCAGATTAAAGGTAGACCCCTTAATGCAGGAGGCCTGTGAGGAGCGAGCGAGGGGTGTCTGATGTAAATGTATCGGAGAGGAATCAGCATGGTGCAGACTGATACCTACCCTGACCAGGAGAGATTTATTCATGCCAGTTTTAGGGGAGACACAGAGTGGGAGCTTGAGCTGCCTCCATGTCAACTGGCATTTTATACCTGTCCTAAAGTAAACACGCCTCTTGGTTTACAGCCAATTAAATTGTACTTAAGCCTGTAAGTTTACATTAGTAAACATGTTGGAGAGTTTGAGGAGGCCCAGGGCCACGGTTCACTTTGAACCAGACGTCTTCCTCTATGCAGATGACATGAAGGGTAAATGTTTTTTACGTATGAGTAAATGTTGAGCTCAGAGCCAGCAGATGCTTTAACACCTTATCCTTCACCGGTTTGTTGAAGTCAGCTTAAGTACCATCTGTTTGCATAAGTCTTGAATATTGAAATCTCACTTGCCTTATTTGTATGTTGTGTGCTTTGAAAGCAATTTGTGTGCATAGAGAAAGATGTATTTTTCTTTTCTTCTTTGTCGAGCTTGAAAAATCCATCTTTTGGAATCTGAGGCGGTTGTTTTACGGGCCGCTTCTTTTAACGCATCACCAGAGCCAGAGTGCCGCCCGTGTTTTATGATCTCATAAACGAGCAGTGATGTTGTGAAATGTGTGTCTGTGTGTATCTCTGCATTTGTGTGTGTGTCTATGCACTTCTATCGGTGTGCGCATTTGTGTGTCTGATAGGGATTTATCTGTCCTTTCCCCTTTCCCCCACCTCTTTCTGTCTGGTTGCTGGATCACTCCCAAAAGAGTGATATTGGGCAGCCCTGCAATAGCACACGGTTCCCAGAGATTCCTCTCACACCACAACCATGAAACACACGGGGGGAGAAAGACTGTCTCTTTTAATTCTGTGCATCATCATGAAGTTACTAAATAACTCACTGTAATTCCTCCTGGGTCTAAAGAAGCACATTTTATGGGTGGTGTTTGACATATTCTGCATTAAAATTCTTAATTCTCATGCAAACAGTTGTCTTGTTTTGTTACATCAATTTTAAGTAGTGGTGGACGAAGTATCCAAATCATGTACATGAGTAAATGAAGACAGGCATATAGAATAGAGCTCATAGGTTTGAACTCTGGAGACTCGTTCCAATCAGTGTGATCTGATTCAGTAGTTTCAGCATATATGTACATGTTATTTTAGTATCATTGAGATACTATTATAGTTTTGAATAATATTTTGATTTTATTTTTACTTTTTTTATTTTAAGTTTTAGTAATTTTGTTGTGTTTCTGACTTTTTAAAAAGTTAACTTAGTAAAATAAAAAACTTAATAAAAAGCGTATATATAGTTACTGTCCACCACTGATTTTCAGTAAGTTTTTTATTTATATATTTATTCATTCATTCATTTTTGAAAGGGGGCCTAACTGTTTTAAAAACTAATCAGTATCTTTCCCTTCTCTCCCTGTAGATTTTTATTAATAACGAATGGCATGATTCTGTGAGCGGTAAGGTCTTCAGCACATACAACCCGGCCACAGGGGAGAAGATCTGCGATGTCCAGGAAGCAGATAAGGTGTGTGTGTGCTTTCTTAGCATGCTAGTGTGTTTGTCAGCAAAGTGTGTATTTGGTAATTGGTCAAACCATTGCCAGAAACAGGTTTGGCACAATTGCTCTGTTGGACTACATTTAGTCGTCCAGCACCGCTATTGTGCTTCTCACTTTCAGCCTTCACTCAGCATGAATAAGCATCCAGAATTGAAAGAGAGGGAGGGAGGGAAGTAGGGTCTGTAGTTCAGTCTAATGTGGTTGAGCAAGCTAGAGGCTGTAGTTCCTCTCTGTAAATCAGGCAGGAAGTGTGGAAAACCAGAATGTATACAGGAAATAAAGACCCCCTGAACATGCAACTGGGGAAATCATTGAGACTCATCCGGAATGAATGGATTTCATTTGTCCCAAAGGTGGACAAACACCTGTTCACAGGATAAGGTTTTATCATTAAGTGCTTTCCTCTCTCTCTCTGTTCGGTCCCCTCTCTTTGCCTTTCTGTTAGGCTGATGTGGACAAAGCCGTGAAGGCTGCGCGTTCGGCCTTCTCTCTGGGTTCAGTATGGAGGAAGATGGATGCATCTGAACGTGGGAAGCTGTTGTTCAAGCTAGCTGACCTGGTGGAAAGAGACAGAGCCTACCTTGCTGTGAGTACTTCATCCAACACTCTCGCCAGATGCAAATACTAAACCTCTACTCAAATGTGTGTAGGGGGGAACTTTCCTAATTTATCTTTTTGTTGTAACATGTTTGTTTTGTTTTTGCACTGAAATGTAGAGAATATATGTGGAATATACATTTTATTTAATAAATGTAAACTTTAATGTAAATATTTGGTATAATGCAGTGTTGGATATAATGCAGCCTTTACTTCTGGCCCACGACCCTCAGTCAGGTTTGATTTTTGGCCCTTCTTAGTAAAACGTTTGTGCACCTCTGCTATTTATATTCTGTAACACTTACAGTTAGGTTCAATTCACCAACATTAGTTAATGCATTGGGTGTCATGAACAATAATGAACAATACTTTTAACAGCTAGGTTAATGCTCGTTTCTGCATGTTCTAATACATTTTTAACATTTAAAGTTGTATAATTTAATATTAATGTATTAAGAACAACAGTGAATTAACAATGAATAACAGTGTATTTACAAAATGAACTTTAAAGGGGTGGTTGATTGCGATGTCACTTTTTTAACGTTAGTTAGTGTGTAATGTTGCTGTTTGAGCATAAACAATATCTGCAAAGTTACGAAGCTGAAAGTTCAATGCAAACGGAAATATCGTCTTTTAAAATTCTGGCAGTTTAATGCCTACAAAAACGGCTGGTAGGGACTACAACAAGTTACTTCCCAGGTTCGTGACATCACAAACCCAGATAAACCCCGCCCTCAGGAAAAGGCAGCAAAGGGGGCGAGGTGCAGTTGCTGTACTGTATTAAAGCTTTAATCAGGATAAAACCGTATATTAAAAGCTAACATAAGCAGTAGCATTTACAAATAACAGCGTATCTGAAAGGATGAGACAAGAACAAACAAAAAACATAGGCCTACCATTAAAAGCCGTGCTTGCACAGGTTCTGCACGATCTTCTTCAATAATATCCTCTGCTTTTCAATCGGGCTCAAACTGATAAGCGATATTAACAAAGCTGTTGTTTACAATACAACCGGAGCACATGCCGCCGAGGTGAGGAGCGGGACGCTTAGACGCGCATACAGATGATTACATGAACACATTATATGTAAAATTTACATCAAAATAACAGAAATATACAGTATATATAGGGAGAGAGAGAGAGAGTTGGATTTTCTTTTTTAATTTTCGGTAGCACTTTATTTTGATGGTCCCTTTTGAACATTCTGTTGACAATAAGAAATGTTGCACCTACATGTCTACTAACTGTGTTGCTTAATAAAGTAACTCTTTATGGTCATGGTCTCCCAACAGACATTCTACTGACTATAAGTAACTTTGCAAGTACATGTCAGCTTATTCTAACCCTAACCCTACCAGTCTACTAATACTCTAATGAGAGTTAGTAGACATGTAGGTGCAATATTACTTATAGTCAACAGAATGTGTTATTTCTAACCCCTCCTCTATCTGTCATTGATCATCAAACAGGTAGTCCTGTCCTATTGGCAAAGGTCCAATTTTCTACACTTTTTTGTTTTTTTTGCTCTTTACAGACTGTAGTGCTGTCACAAATGTATGTTTTATTACTCAGGACTATTCCAGTGTTATCCATCAGATAGAAACTGTAAGTCAACAGAATGTGTTAAAGGGACCATCAAAATAAAGTGAAACCAAAGTTGATAATAAATACATGTAAATATTTTTTTAAACTTCATTTTAATTTAAAATGTTACCATTTCTAAAGATGCACCAATATTTTCAAAAACAATGTTTGTTTATAAGTAGGTTTTCTAAACCCTCCTCTATCTGTCATTGATCATCAAACAGGTAGTCCTGTCCTATTGGCAAAGGTCCAATTTTCTACACGCAGGTTTTAAAGATCCTGCATCATGTTTTTTGATTTTTTTAATATATATTTAATAACTGGTTTTGTAAGTACTGCTCAGTTAGAACCAAGAAGCCTGACCCGTGCTTTCTTGTTAACATCAGTCTTGACTCCCTCATAACTATTACCTTCACTCATGAACCAGCGGTCATCTTGCCAGACTTAAACCATGTCTCATTCTAGTCAGTGCCAGTTTTTGGTGAGTGAGAATCAGATTTAACAGGACAAAGCCATCTGAGCAGACAAAGACGCTCACAACAATAAGCAAGTGTCTAATGAGTGGGCCTGTCTGTCTGCCTCAGACTTGTTGAAGCTTCATGACAGGAGCCGTAGGAGTTGTTGTTTTTCGAACAATTTTGATTTGCCCTGCAAATGTTTGAAACCCATGATGATGACAACACCGAGTTGAAACACATGACCTTTGGGCGCTAACGATCACTTAGGTTAAGAGCGAAACGTAAAAGAGAGGTATTGTTCCTTTCTATGACGTGCTTTTATCTCTGGCGTTCTTCCGCCTTGGACATCTGCGTTTACTTCCCACTCATGGAGATGTGTCTAAAGAGACAGATTCAGAAACAAAAGTGCTATGTTTGTCTTTGTGCGTGCAACTCTCCGAAGCCTGCTGTAGCCATTTTGAGTAAATCTCTTTCATGTTACAGTTTAGACTTTGTGTTAAATGGACTGAAACAACAGATTTTCTCCATCCAGCTCTGAACAAGTGTCAGAGCGTATTGCTTTGAAAGAGAAATGCGTCGTCCATGTGGTTGCGATCACTCCTTATATCAATCTAATCCCACGTCGATAAGAAATCATGGCTGGCTGACATAAAGATAACAAAGGCAGGTCTCTGGTGATGGCTGTATTAGTATCATGTTTCCTAGGGGAGCGGGGGGTCAGGTTTAATCTCTATGATTGATTTTTCATCACACACCCACACTCTCATCTTCCTTCTCTCCTCCCAGACCCTGGAGTCTCTGGACACTGGGAAACCTTTCCTCTCCTCGTTCTTTGTGGACCTTCAGGGAACCATTAAAACGTTTCGATATTTTGCTGGATGGGCAGATAAGATCCACGGTTCCACGATTCCAACTGGTAAGCTGATGCTCATCCTGTCATAAACCCTCACCATAGAATTAGGCAGCATGCAATTTTTGAAGGGTTAGCTTGGATGCAAAGTTTCACCTCACAGTAAACAGGCGCTCACAAACAGAAATAAGGAAAGCAGCATATATATAAACTATATATATATAATTTTTTTTAATTAAATTTTATTAAACCATCCTTTTAATACTAATAATTATGTGTAAACAATATTGGCTGGGGAACCAATAAGTTTTTTCCCTATAAAAATTAATAAAATAAAACCCTTTGTATAAATCCTTACACATAATTTTTCTACGTGTAATTGTATGCCTTTTAATGTATATGTGCACTACCATTAAAAAAGTTTGGGGTCAGTAAGGTTTATTTTTAAAATAAATCCTGTTTTTTTTTACTTTATATTTATCAAAGAATGCTGAAAATAAATCTTAACACAGTTTCCACAAAAATACTAAGCAACCGTTTTCAACATTGGTAATGTTAAGAAATATTTCTTAAGCGTTCTTCTTAAAATTTAATTGACAATATAACTGTTTTTACTGTATTTTTGATCAAATAATTCAGCCTTGGTGAGCATATAAAACTTATGTCAAAATCATTAAAAAAGTGTATATTCATTATTAAATTTCACATACAGTATTGTGGTTGGTTTGTTATATATCCAAAATCACATAATGTCACTGATATAAACTGTATGATTATGAAAGCTGGTGACACAGCAATGCAGCAATGGAGAGCATGGAAGTACAGGCGCACTGGGCTGGAAACTGTCATTATGTGAATGCAGACCAGACCTTTAGGTGCAGGCCCATCCTAGACATTTTAGGAAGTTTGACCTTGAGCAGAGAGACCACAGCTCTAAGCCAGGGTAGAGCTGTGTTTTCTCTGAGGCCTGCAGGAGATGTTGTGGGGTTATGAAGGTGCACTGAGGGTAAACAGAGGAGGTCCCGTAACAGTTATAAATCTGAGTGCTAATGGCCGCCCTCCTGTGGAGTGCTGCCCTCAATGGAGCACAGTGACAGCTACAGGGCCGGGGGGCACTACGGGGCACGGGGGGGCACTGGGGGTCTGTTCTGGCTAATTTAGTTGTTTGAAAGGAACGCGGCAGGGAGCCTGGAGACTACGGGACATCAGTAGACTTGCAGCTCTGATGTCACAGTGCAGCCATTAGTGTGCAAGTATGTGTGCGCGGGGGAGATTGTGGAGCCGCCCTTCAGGGCCCCCCTGTCACATGGGCCACATGGGATAGAGGGAATCGAGAGAGGTGTCCACCGTCGGGCGTCCGTGTAATTATTGTGCATTCCAGCGCAGTCTGTCACCATTTCTCTCTGATTGGCTCATGCTCTAATATTTACTCTTATACTGTCCTATACGGTCCTTCATATAACTCACACACTCCAGTCACTCTTGTATTTGATAATGTCTCCCTCATATTAACTCTCTCATCTTACACAAACAAGCACCCATGCTGCTGCATGCTGTTATTATACGATTTTCACAGCAGGAGAAATAAAAATGAAGAATGGAGGGGAAAAGAACTGTAAATCCCCCTGCCAGTGCTGGAGCTCAGCACTGGGCCTTTGTTGTGTTGCTAAACCAAACTTGCATAGTGAGAACTCACAGTGATTCGCTTTATTGTAACAGTTATAAATCTGAGTGCTAATGGCCGCCCTCCTGTGGAGTGCTGCCCTCAATGGAGCACAGTGACAGCTACAGGGCCGGGGGGCACTACGGGGCACGGGGGGGCACTGGGGGTCTGTTCTGGCTAATTTAGTTGTTTGAAAGGAACGCGGCAGGGAGCCTGGAGACTACGGGACATCAGTAGACTTGCAGCTCTGATGTCACAGTGCAGCCATTAGTGTGCAAGTATGTGTGCGCGGGGGAGATTGTGGAGCCGCCCTTCAGGGCCCCCCTGTCACATGGGCCACATGGGATAGAGGGAATCGAGAGAGGTGTCCACCGTCGGGCGTCCGTGTAATTATTGTGCATTCCAGCGCAGTCTGTCACCATTTCTCTCTGATTGGCTCATGCTCTAATATTTACTCTTATACTGTCCTATACGGTCCTTCATATAACTCACACACTCCAGTCACTCTTGTATTTGATAATGTCTCCCTCATATTAACTCTCTCATCTTACACAAACAAGCACCCATGCTGCTGCATGCTGTTATTATACGATTTTCACAGCAGGAGAAATAAAAATGAAGAATGGAGGGGAAAAGAACTGTAAATCCCCCTGCCAGTGCTGGAGCTCAGCACTGGGCCTTTGTTGTGTTGCTAAACCAAACTTGCATAGTGAGAACTCACAGTGATTCGCTTTATTTCATTTCCAATCTCATCCATAATAGAATTACAGCACAAACAAACAGAATGTGTGTTTTTGGCCTTCTCTTATCTGGCCACCAAGTGAGATGAATCACTGGCATGCCTCTCGTCCAGATGCTTTAGGCCAACTGCATCTTTCCACAGCGAGGGATGGAGTGATCACACTCTTTTCCATGTTGCTGGGTCTTTTGTAGACAGTGGTATTATCTAAGCTCTTTCGACTGAAAAGTCTTGTTAGTAAAAATGTCAGCTAATGTGATCTTTTCTGTATTATGTCATTTATTTTCACCTTTTATTTCATTTGAATAGACTTTGTTTATTTTCTAAGCACAAGTATAAAGGGTATTTGACACCATACTCTGGTTTTTTGTTTTTTCTGTCACACAGATGGAGAATATTTCACTCTTACCAGACATGAGCCCATTGGAGTTTGTGGACAGATCGTTCCTGTGAGTGTTTTGGCCCTAATTTTCCTTAATATACTTTGCTTAAAATTTCTCTGCCATCTCCACAGTCCTTAATGGGGAGGTATTTGAACCCCTTAGTGAAGATGACAGGCTTATTGAGGTTTTAGTTTTTGGGGAAGCCCTCTTTTCCTTAAAGTCGGCATGAAATTGAAATTCTGTCTTTTAAATTCATGTTATTGATCTTGTTGTGAATGATCCATCCATGCATATTATTTTTGGCCCTGTAATTTTTAGTCAAAATGTCATAACTCAATCTTCCAGTGAAACAACAGTCTTCTTTTTGGTGACATTTGATGGAATCCTCCAATCATTTATTCTGCTTTAACCCTTCCCCTTTTTATAAACTTCTGCAAGCTTGCATTCAGATCTGCATCCGTCCAGTCAACAAGCGATAGACTGAACCAAGTCCTCACCCTAATTCATTTCACTCAGATGTACATCACAATACTGCAGAAAGCATCTTCAACTATTTCCATATCACTGTAGCTTTAAAATATATTGCACAGGTTACTAGAAGTGTTTGAGGTTCTTATTAGTCTCTGTATGGTTGGCTACAAACAGACTGGCAGGAGGAGGTTATGGCCTGTGCCAGTGAGGCAGAAAAAGGAACTGAGAAATAATGAAGCAGGGGTGAGTAGGAGGTATACTTGAAGGACAGAATTAGAAACAAGGAAGCAAAAAAAAAAAAAAAAGATTGTGACAATGAAGACCGTGCTTGCCACTCTAGACCTCATGATATGAGAAATGACTTGTTTCCAGCAAGGCACACCAAATATTCCACTAAAATCTGGTCCATCTAGCAGGTCTTTGAGCATTGTAGGAGAATGAAAGTTACTGAGCCTAAGTGTTACAGAAGATTGTGTGACTCGTTCAGTTTCCAAATGAATGTGCAGGAGTCTGAAATCATTAGTGAAGGAGTTATGCTCTCAAGAAACAAAGATATGAGGTTGTCTGAACGAGCTCCCACAGTAAGTTCCTGACCTATGTCTGTACAGTGGAACTTCCCCCTGGTGATGACAGCATGGAAATTGGGGCCAGCGCTGAGCTGTGGGAACACTGTTGTCCTGAAACCTGCTGAGCAGACCCCTCTCACCTGCCTCTACATTGGTGCTCTGATCAAAGAGGTACAGCAAAATGATTTTACAACATTGTTGTGAATGAAGGGATAAAGTATTATCCATTCTGACCGCATCATATTCATAATACAGCAGTAAAATGATACAAAGTGATACAAAAGCAACATCAACACACATTCATGCAAATGAGTGATATTTCATCATTTGTTCCCCACTGCACCCAGACCTTTGTTGCCTCTCTTGGATTAAGAGGCCCATTTTCTTCTCTTCCTTTTGATGTTCTGTCCATCCTCTCATCCACAGAGCCTGTAGGGATGTCGGGGTGGGTCTGGATTCCCCCTCCACGGCCTGTGGTGTTCTTGGCTCAGTTCTCATCTAAAGTTTTTTCCTCTCATACTGTTTTCACAGGCTGGGTTTCCACCGGGAGTCGTCAATATTTTGCCAGGCTACGGGCCAACCGCGGGAGCCGCGATCGCTTCACACATGGGCATAGACAAAGTGGCGTTCACAGGATCGACTGAGGTAATTTTCCTATCAGCAGAATGGAAGAATCACACCCTCTCCCCTCATCCTCCTTTCCGCCGGTTTGTCATAGGCCTTGTCCCGAATGACGCTCTTGATGTGGACTTGTAGTCTTGGTCTTCATTCAGGCATCAGTGAAGTCCACAAGACGTTTGACTATTTAGGCGTTTTAATCCATGTTGCAAAGTGCGGACTTGTAAGAGTCATTTGGAACCACTGGGATGTGCAAAAATTGTACCTTTAAGAGTACAACTGCTTGTCACTGGGAAAGTACCCTTAAAGGGACAACGTTGTACCTTATTTATGCCTAAAGGGTTCATAGTAGTACCTTAAAGGCCCCAATATACTCATGACTAAAATCTTTTTCGTTCTTCACTTTACTCTTGTCTGACCTCAGCGGACTCAACAGAAGAAATGCACTGGAGATTTTCACGTCAAAACAGCGCACCTCTTACGTAATCGTCAGATGGTAGTTTGAAGGTGTTTCCCAGCCAGAGCTTTGGCAAGCTGTTTCAAACTCCTAAAACGAACTCCATTTTGGCCTGATTTTGTTTGATATTACATCACACCAGTTGGTTCTTCAATTCCACTTGATGTATATTGGGGCCTTTAGGGTACATATTACTACTTTTGTCATTTTAAGAGTACTGCCCCTTGTGACAAGCTACTGTAGCCCTATAGGTACAATTTTTGCAGTTTATTTCTGACAGTGAAGGGTTAGTGAATTTGTACCCCATTACTGTGGGTGATTATAATGAGAAGCCTGAGGAAGTTGTGTTTATAGGGGGGTCTGTCTGCTGTCTCATACTACACACACTCTCACACCCAGGAATGCTTAGCGGACCACCTGGCTTTCCAAAATTGTTTCTAATAAACAGGTTTTAGGTGGAAGTGGGAATGAAATGTTAATCCACAGGTGGTCTTCATGTACTGTTAATGTCGTGCCAGTCTGGTTGGACACCTGAGTTCATTTACGCTTTATAAGTGTCCTGTGCATACTGTATAATGACTACCCTTTCTATTGAGCTCCATGCATCAGACATTAGACAGCTACATTGTGGCCCCGGAGGAAAAATTACTCTTTGAAGCCAACTGTATAAATTTAATAGAAAGCCAGGGACTGAAAATAGGCACCGTGTTAGGCACAGAGAACTTAGCGCTTGAAAACAGGCCTCACTGACGGCGACATAACTCTGCTGTGACAGCGTATTTTAAACAGTGATTATTTCTAGCTACACTTGCCTCGCTGGTAAGAACCCTTAAGCCCTTTATTCAATTACAGCCTTTCATAAATCGAAATATTTCAGTGTATGTTTTGATCTGTTCTTACACATGCAGCATGTGTTTTGTTATTAATTGAGGTGAATTTTGTGATTTAGAATAGACAGAGCTAAAGCTTATGATGCCATTAGCTTCACCGGAAAAGTGAGTTTACATGCCTAGTTATAATCGAGTTACAGCAGGTTTTACGTAGTGGAGCAACAGTCTTCATCTGTCTGACCAAGAATACATGAATATATGAAGGATTAAATACACAAATTCTCTTCACAAAAAGAAAAAAGCACATGATGCATACAACCACGTTATCTGGGTCTGTTAGTCTGGCTTTGCAAAAACCAAACTGTAATGATTTCAGTTATTTACTGAACTTTTAAAGTGCATGTACACTGCCGTTCGAAAGTTTGGGGTCAGTAAATTATTTTAAAGAAATTAATTATTTAGCAAGAATACATAAACTGCTCAAAATGACAGTAAAGACATTTACAATGTGACCAAAAAATTATATTTCAAATAATTGCTTAAAATAAATAAATAAATATTGAACTTTCTATTCATCAGCGTTTCCACAAACATTTTAAGAAGCACAACTGTTTTCAACATTGATGATAATAATAATAGTAATAATAACAATAAACTAATAATTTAGTTTCTTGAGCAATAAATAAGCATAAATTCTGAAGGATCATGTGACATTAAAGATATAGAGGTAATGGCTGCTGAAAATTCAGTTTTGCCGTCACAGGAATACATTGCATTTAAAAATATATTAATATAGAAAACAATTATGGTAAATTGTAATATTTCACAATATTGTTTCACTGTGTTTTTGATCAAATAAATACAGCCTGGGTGCTCATAAAAGAATACTTTCAAAAATATTACAAACTCTTACCGACCTCAAACTTTTGAACGGTAGTGTAAATGTACTTCATGTTTATCTTTATTGTTAAAGAAACAGAGAATTGTGTGTGTGTGTGTGTGTGGGGGGGTCTGTATGTGGACATAAGACTTCTCACACAAACAGAAGTGTTGTTTCAACTGAAAACAAACTAGCTTGTGTCCTTGAAAAGCACTTGTTGAAATGCAACAGATGTTTCTTTTTGTGGGAAATGACAGTTAAGTAATTTCCCAGTTCTCGGCTATTTTGATGACTGCGATGACTATTTCTTTCCTTTAAATCAAAATGTCATTGATAAAACAAGAATGCAGTGACTGAGAAAGAAACATCAACAGGCCACACAAATCCTCAGATGATCATAGCGTCACACTGAAAAAAGCACAATCAACCTTTTTTTTTTTAAGTGGTTTCAAAAATTTTATACATTTATTATTATTTTTATTATTATTTATTATTAATATTAATAATAACAACAATATATATTGTAGTATACACAAATTAAGGTCATGACTGCAGACAAACCAGGTGTAACTAAACATTGCGGCACTAGTAACTTAACATTTTGTGACAACAGCTCAGCTGTTTTTAAGCAACTTTTTCCAATGAATTAGCACTACACAAAATTAGTTCATTAGAATGAATTGGTTAATTTGGACAATTCTTGTAAATTAACTGATTCGTGTCCCTACATGGCAATTTTAGTTTTTTCCCCCCACTTTTTATAACCTTTTTTATATACATTAGTGAATACTATATTTGTATTTAGTGTAAATGTATCAGTTCAAGTTAAGATATTATTCATTTATTCATTCAAAAACAGAAAAAAGTGTTAATTATGAATTATAGGATATCATTGGATAGTTCTACACTACGTAGTCAGGATTTTTTTTTTATTATTATTATAAATTAATACTTTCAATGATGCATGTAATTGATCAAAAGTGACATCCAAAGACTGTTATAAAAGATTTGTATTTCAAATAAATGCTGTTTTTTATCTTCCTATTAATCAGTTTCCACAATAGTATCAAGCAGCACAACAGTTTTAAACTGTGGTAATATTAGCATATTAGCATCATTTCTGAAAGATCATGTGACACTGAAGACTGAAGTAATGGCTGCTGAAAATCATAAAAATAAATAGCATTTTAATGTGTACTGAAATAGAAAAGTTACTTTAAATTGTAATAATATTACTATTTTTACAGTATTTTTTGATAAAATAAATGCAGTCTTGGTGACACTATAATACTTATAATACTCTTCATTCAAAAACAAAAAATCTTACCGACCCCAAACTATTGAGCAGCAGTTGTGTATATTTAAAAAGGCACTGCCACCTTAAGTAGCTTCAATGTTAGTAGCTTATAGTGTAGCTGACCACTTTTTCAAAAGAATAGCTTTACTACAGCGTACCTACTTCAAATTATGATGATCTTGTAGCTTGAAAAACTAAAGTAGCCTCCAAAACTGAGACCAGCACTCATATAGGTATAGTATCTGTGAGAGGTAGGCATTTACATTCGTGCAAAGAGCCCAGCTTCCATTTTTCCACTGAGCGAGAGTGTCAGAGGGAACTGAGGAGGATTGTTTTCCCTTCGTCTTCTCCCCTCTCCCTTTCTCTTTCCTCTATCTGATGGAAAACAGATTCACTGTCAGTAAGTATGTTTTGCGGAAAGGAAAAATGTACAAATGTTTGTTTATGGTTAGGAGTGCTGCTCGCCAGCCTCTAAAGCACTGAGCTGGCTGTGAAGAGTGAGACGGTCTTTCTCACACACACACACACACACGTGCAGTTAGAAAAGAATAGTTTGACGTGAGCATAATGTTCTCTGTGATGTGAAGCAAAGCCCCGGACAGCAGCTGTGCGATGTCTGCAGTGCTAACACAGGCCTGAACAGCCTGTAAGATGAGAGCCAGTCCACCGCTAATGTGAAACTTTAGGTGAAAAGAAGTGTGAAATACAGTTGGAAGAGAACAGATTCAGGGAAGAGCAGCAAAGGACATGAAATTATGAAACAGTAGACTCCTGTTAAAAAAAGAAACATGCTCCTTAAGCTCAGAGAAACCAAAACCAGACCAATAATCACTACATATGCTTTCATTTGTGCACTAACAAAGCCAATAAATGCATTTCAAGGATCTTATTTCACTGTTATTTTGTGGCTCCAAACAGTGTTGAGCATCCTACACAAACCTGCGGTCAGTTCTTCCTGTTCTCGATTAACCGACAGATACTGTTGTGTGTTGGACATTCCATTCTCTCTGGCCGCCACCGTATGCACAGATATTTAAGATATGTGAGCCGAATCTCATGGGCCTGATAATGGTGCTGGTGCTGGTTGCCTTGCTGAAGAGGGGCTTCTCATGCAGCAGGATTTATTAATGACAGCATCCCACTGATGTTGAGATTTAGTAAGGCTCCTCTGTGAAGTCCTGCTGATTAAAGTGGCTCTTCTCTCTCTCTACAGGTAGGCAAGCTGATCCAAGAAGCAGCAGGAAAGAGCAATCTGAAGAGAGTCACGCTAGAGCTTGGGGGAAAGAGTCCCAACATCATTTTTGCAGATGCTGATTGTAAGTATTCAGACGCTGTTTTACGGCTGCCCTCCTGTTGTCCCGCTGCAACAGTTTGTGCACAGGTGCTACTCTCTCTGTGTCACTGGACATCAAAGACCTTCAGGGATCTTTTAGAGCTGCGTCTGGGCAAAAAACTGAGTGTCTTGTGTTTCCGAGAGGCCCATATTCATGCAAATGAGCTTATCTCACTTCCTAAACCCTTGATCCTTATTGTCTCGAAGTAGCCCACCAAACCAAGGCAGAAGTCAGAGCTTTTAAATGTTTTCAGCAGCCGTGAGCACGGCTACCCAGCACTGGGTTGTATTTAACCCAGCATTTTTTAGAGTGTACTTTTAATTGATTAAAAGAGACAGTAAAGACATTTATAATGTTACAAAAGATTTCTCTTTCCAATAAATGCTGTTCCTTTTTATTCATCACAAAATCCTGGGGAAAAACGCATCACTGTTTCCACAAAAATATTAAGCAGCAACATAATATAACATGATAATAATAAGAAATGTTTCTTGAGCAACACATCAGCATATTAGAACGCTTTCTGAAGGATCATGTGACAATGAAGACTGAAGTAATGACTGCTGAAAATTCAGCTTTGCCCGTGCATGAATACATTCAATTTGTAATCATATTAAAATAGAAAACATTTTAAATTGTAATAATATTTCACAGTATTACTGTTTTTACTATATTTTGTAATCAAATAAATGAAGCCTTAGCGCATAAGAGACTGCTTTCATTAACATTAAACATTTAAAATCTTAACAACTCCAAACTTTTGCATGGTAGTGTATAATATATATGTGACCCTGGACCACAAAACCAGTCTTAAGTCGCTGGGGTATATTTGTAGCAATAGCCAAAAATACATTTGCATGGGTCAAAATGATAGATTTTTCTTTTATGCCAAAAATCATTAGGATATTAAATAAAGAACATGTTCCTTGAAGATATTTTGTAAATTTCCTACTGTAAATATATCCAAACTTAATTTTTGATTAGCAATATGCATTGCTAAGGACTTCATTCGGACAACTTTAAAGGTGATTTTCTCAATATTTAGATTTTTTTTTTTTGCACCCTCAGATTCCAGATTTTCAAATAGTTGTATATCGGCCAAATATTGTCCTATCCTAACAAACCATACATCAATGGAAAGCTTATTTATTCAGCTTGACCCTTATTACTGGTTATTTGTGGTCCAGGGTCATATATCTAAAGGAATATTTTTACAATAATATCTTACAATATTATCTCAAAATACATGTCATGTTATTAAACGAAATGTGAGTGCCATCAGAATTGAAACAAAAATCTGTACAATGAAACATTAATAATCAAACAAGACATTATCTGCATAATCTACCCAATTTATTATTTTTAAAATGTCTATGCCTGTTCCAGTTGTCAGAGTAAATAAAGACAGGATTCAGTAGTTGATCATCTCTGTGTTGACTGTGACAGGTGAGTGTAGAGCAGCAGAGACGTGTACTGGAGCTGATTCAGAGCGGCATCACTGAGGGAGCTAAACTGGAGTGTGGCGGCAAAGCTCCCCTTTCTAAAGGCTTCTTTGTGGAGCCCACAGTCTTTTCTGATGTACAGGACCACATGCGCATTGCCAAGGAGGAGGTAAGCATTCTTGATCTCTGAATAATGAATCTAATTTCAAATGTTTAAATACTGAGTCAAAGTATTATAATAAAAAAGCAACAACTTTGTTTTAGATATTTGGGCCAGTTCAGCAGATCATGAAGTTTAAAACTATTGAAGAAGTGATTGAGAGAGCCAACAACACAGAATATGGTCTGGTAGCAGCGGTCTTCACCACAGACCTCAACAAGGCCATGAATGTCTCTGCAGCTCTGCAGGCCGGCACTGTCTGGTAAGAGTTATATCACATCAACAGATCCTCACACAAAATAAAACACAAATGCCATCCACTTGTTTTGTTTTTGGCCGTAATATCATTGAGTTATATGCACACCTTAATGTGCGCACTGCAAAAAAGATTTTTCAAACAAGTATTTTTTGTCTTGTGTTTCATTGAAATATCCAAACATTCTTAAATCAAGATACATTTACTTGAGAAGCAAAATGGCATAAGACATACAGTCTTGTTTTCTAAAAGATTTTTCAAAATTAAATGACTTCATGCTTGTTTTTTGTTTTATTTTTCTTACCCCATTGGTAGAACAAGACTTGATAGTACATTTTCTTCTTAACCTGTTTGTGACACACAACAACTCAAACAAAAACAAAAAGCTAAACATATCACATATCTTTGGAAAGCTGAGATTCTTGTGATTCGAATGATCACAATCATTTTTAACCATTGTGTTGTCCAGCTAATAGCTCCCAGCTATATTCATCTGCAGAAATCTGTTTACAAAAAAAAAAAAAAAAAAAATGTAGGCGGAATGTTTTTTTCCTTTTTCAGTGTGTTCAAAGTTCTATTACTCAATACCAAGGTTTCTTCAACCTCAGAGTATCACCTTTCAAAAGAGACCAAAACCATGCATTTACTCCAAATGGTTCAAGAACAGCATGCAATTTACTTTGGGTATGCCTTTTTTTTAGGCGTTTTAGGCTAATTTTACAGGAATGCTAAGGGGATAATTTAAGAATGTTCAGATATTTGTACTGTAAGACAAAAATGCTGAGCAAGAAAATACGTTTTTGCAGTGTAGTCACATTTATTTAAATCCAGTGATTTAAAAAGGAATCCACATGATCTGTAATTTTGTGTGAGGCGAATGAACTGAAATCCTGTGACTGCACTTTTCCACATAGAAAAAGTTCATGAAATCACGAAGATTGTGAGATGTATTTTTTTGTTGTGCAGGATCAACTGTTATAATGCCATGAGCTGCCAGTGTCCTTTTGGAGGATTCAAAATGTCCGGCAATGGTCGTGAACTGTAAGTGCATTTTAAAATGATATAACATCACAATCGCATATTCCATACATTTGTGTTTACATTAACATCATTGTTCTCCATTTTCCAGGGGTGAGATCGGACTGAAAGAGTATACAGAGGTGAAAACCATTACAATGAAGATGTCAGGGAAGAAATCCTAAAGCACAAATATGTACGTTCCTAACAGCGGGAAGTCTTCCTTTGAGGTTAACCACTAGCCATTATCCTTTGGTTGTCTATAGTGGTAGAACACCACACACAGTAACCACCCATCACTTCTGCATTGGAGCACCTCTTCTCCTGCATCCTCATAGGCTGCCCTTCATCTCCATCCCGCGTCCACTAGCAGCTCCACATCCACGGCCACAATTAACCGCCTACACCCATTCCAGCTGTGACCTCCTTTCGCCGGCTCCACTAACCATACTAAAGCACTCGGAGTCCTGGTGAAAGAGGGCTACGCTTTTGACCACTGCACCAGCAATGTGCAGACACTAACAGACTACGACCACTCTCTCTGATGATCTCCCACGTCAAGTGTTTTTTTACACACCACATGGCTAAAGGAGGTCTGAGGGGTACCATTCTCAAACCTCATAATTAACTTGCCTTTCCACTGGGTAGAAATCTAGTAGGCATATTAGTTTTTACTAAGACCACTGAAGCTCTCTATCTCAGAAAAAAAAGATGTTTTCTTTGAATGAGTATTAATTCTAAAATGTGTGTAATTGCTTTGTATTTTTATTTTTCATTTCATTGTTTGATTGTTTTACTTTGTATAACTTTGTCGATGTCTTGACCAATGTAAACAAAAATGATTTACCTCAAAAATAAAAAAAGAAGAAAAAATCTTTGGTGTGTATTTTCGACAAATGATTTTTCATTGATGCCCATTTATTGTTAGGTTTAAAGAATTATGTACTATGAATATAGAAGTTAAGGTATAGAGTAATTTCTTCATTAAAATGTCTTCTCTTGAAGGTGATTTTCTAGTTCTAGATTTATGACTGGAAAGTTGACTGAGGGAAAAAATCATTAGTAAAAGAGGGGGGGAAAATCCCTGTACAGAGATCCTTTGCAAGATGCATTTTTGCTTCAGTTGTTGCATTTTTCATATGACTCTGAGTATTCAGATTTATGTCAAACAGGGTGAGAACAGACTGCGTCAGAGATTGTTTGGTAAGAGCTCTTCAGATATGATCCAGATAAAACTACCTTAGAAGTTGCATTCCCAAAGAAACAGTCACAATGGATTTTCCCAGCAGCCCAGCCAATCTGCTGATATCTTTAGTCAGAACAACACGCATGATGAAAAGACTTGGCTACTTTACACAACACTGGTCTGGCTCTGGAAGAGCAGAAAAGGACAGCACAGAGCTTTGAACTAGACCACAGAAAGACCACTACAGTGATAGTTGGCCTTCCTGTGGATCACGTGGAAATTATTCTGAACCATTTCCTTATGAGTTAGTGTGTGACAACAGTTGAAGAACAAAAGTGGTTTGTTTCAACTCAAAAACAGTGTTGCATGTTTTCAAGTGTGAACCAATCAACACAGGAAAGTGTTGTAGGTTGCAGGCGAAAGGCCTTACAAGGGTTGTTTAATCTATTTGACATTGTTACACAATGGTGTCATTGACCCTTCCCTCCTTAGGAGTCTGTTTAACAGTATTTATAATTCTCTGGAGTCTCATATGATTACAGTGTACCAAGTTCACACCAATATTTCTACATGACAGTAGTGTAAAATTGTTGTTTTTTAGTTAGAAAAACATGATAAATCAATAAATGGCATTATTACAGACTTTATGTGTGATTCTTAAGGGTGTATTTTCATTTTTTATGACTCTGGTAGTGCATAGTAAACTCAAATGAACATTAACTTTCTCACACACTTACAAAATTTCTCATTGTTCACAATGTGAGAATGATCGCTTCTCCTTTGGGATCCTAATTTCAACCAGCTTGGACTCTGCCCAAGGTTAAATGGCAAAGGTGGCATCCATCATGATCGGAATTCCAATATCTTTCCTCAGAGACATACATTTATTAGATGAAGCACTTATGGAGTCTGATAAATATCATTCACTATCATTAGCCTATGCTCTTTCAGAGGATTTATGGTCAAATAGATCCATATGACCTTCCCATCTACTGAACTAGGGGGTGAATTAAACAGTGTATTAGCTCTCAGATAGGCGCTGGCATACGTTTCCAATCCAATTAATCTTCTCTAAATAACTATGGATTTTCTACACTTTGCCAGATAGTTGATAAAACTAATGCATGTCACATTTATAAAATGAGATTGCAACATTAGACGCTAGAATGTGTTCATTTGTCTTCATCAAGATAAGCGGAGAAAGCTAAGCTGGTGGGAACTGGAGAACTGCAGCAGCTTTACAAGCTCCTCCTCCAGAGGGAGACACTTTCTCCCCTTCAGCCATATCTCAGAGATCAGTTAGAATCACACAGTAGTGTGTTTGGACTGCTTCAAAATCCCTTGCCGTTTGTTTCATTGCCTCAGGAAAGACAAATCCCATATGAGAGCTCTTCAATTTCTCAATCATTTCTACTAGATATCAATTAAGTTACCTGGAGACCTAATGGAGACCTCTCTCCTGATAAAAAGACCACAATAAGAGTTTCCGAAGAAATTTCAGTAATGTGCACAGTCTGTCAAGATACCAGTGTACACTGTAAAAATAAAAAAAGTTTTCAAAGTTGTAACAAAAAAAAATTAAGATTATTGAAGTACAATTTACAAGAAATTGCTATTTCAGTTTTCTACTTCAGAATCTGCTATTTCTAAACCTGTACTCCCGTTGTTGCATGACTAATTAGCAAAACAAAATGAAGAGCCAGTGAAAAAGAAAAACACTTGAAGCATATTGGGCTTCAGCCAGCTTCAGTCGGACCTCTGCTCCCTTATTTGGGAGTTAGCTAGTTTCCTCTCTCCTCTGACATCACTCCTCAAGCCTAATGCAACAATAATACGGCCCCAATTGCATGACATTATAGCTTCCTTACATGCACATGGGAGGGCCTGGACTGAGGTCCCTCCTGACCGCAGACGTACTGCGCTCAGTTCCCAGCTAGAACCAGCTGCACAGCTGCTGCATGGGAGGAACACAAATGGATAAAGAGAATCCAGTCTGTTTTGGGGAGAAAAAGTTTCCTAACAGAGCACCTCCCATCTCTGGGCAGTCCATGTACCACTGTTAAAAATGTGATGCAGCTGCGTTGTGGTCCCAAATGCATATTTTAAAATAAAAAAGTACACTGTCAATAAGGGCAACTGCCCCTTGTGCAATTAAAATCAGGAAACAGATGTATTAATGATAAGTGATTCACAGGCCAACCCTTATTTAGTTCTTATTTTTGGTATTTTTTACATGAATTATTAGCAGCTTCTTACTTGCGAAACAAACTGTATTTTTATGAGAAAAATTCTTGGAATTTGATACGCATAGACTTTAGGAACATTGTTAAAACTAGATCATAAGTGTCTGATATGTGATCACTAGAGATACGGCCAGATGAATTATAATTTGTTTTTGTTTTTTAACAAAGCAATAAATCTACACAAGCTCAAAGCTTCCCAAGGAGTCTGGCATCTCAAAAATTAAAAGCATTGATTTTTAAAATCAGGACTTTTCATTCCATTCTTTGATCTTAATTTGTTGTTTTAGCTTAATTTACAAATGTGAGCCAAATGCTTAAGCATGTGCCAATACATGCACAAACACAGAGTCAACAAAATGCACCTTGTGTGTGTGTATGTTTTAATGTTGTCCAGATGCTCTTGAGGCACATGGAAACAGGTGATGATAGCATTAGCCCGGAATTGGACACAGATGGAAAGGGGCTTGAACCTATTCCTGTATCACCACCAGGGTTGTAAATTATTATTTTTTCCCTCTGAATGATGAAAATTATTTCAAAGTGAATTATGCTTGGCCAACTCTCTGTGTTGTATAAACTCGCCATACCAAGGGTCCTTTCTCAGTGTCAGATCATCAGTCAAGTAAAACATATCATTCATGTCTTTCTTTGTCACATTCTCACTTTAAGACCAAAGGACTGGCTGGTCCTTGAGGGACAATATTATCACATTTAGGAGGTCTGGTTAGAAAACATGACTTAGATTATCCTGCCAAGGTTTTGTGTAACCGTCCAGCTAGACCATAACTTCTGGTAGGTGCTGTTATGTGTATCCTAAAGGACCATATGTACACACACATACACGTTTGATTTCCATGTATTATGGGGACGTCTTACAGGTGTAATGGTTTTTAATGGTACAAACTTTTCTATCCCCTAAACCTACCCCTCACACAAAACTTTCTGCTATTTTTGATTTTTTTTTTAGCCAATAAAAATTCATTCTGTATGATTTAAGCTGTTTTCCTCATGGGGACCAAAAAATTGACTGGTATTACCACCTTTGTGGGGACATTTGGTCCCCATAATGTAGGAAATACCAGGTAGACACAAACACACACACACACACACACTAACTACCATTCCATCATTTAGCAAGGCATTAAATAGATCAAGTTACAGTACAAATATTTGTTACAAAAATAAATGCTGTTGTTTTGAAATTTCACTAAAGAATCATGAAAACTGTGATCATAAGAAATGTTTCTTGATAGCATATAACCCTGTTTCATTTAAATACAGCTCTTATACTCTTACTACACAGAGAAGTTTAGTCTGTAATATCACGTCTGTAATATGAAGGATTGTTTCCAGTCTGGCCAAGTTGGAAACAAGCTTTCTGGGTAGTTTTAAAACTAATCAGCTATGATTGTATGACTGGTGGGTCAGTGCATTGGGGTGAAGGAAAGAGCCACTACATGTGTCAAAGCATTGAGTGAGGATGGACATTGAGCAGAACTGAAAAATATGTCCAAACTCTGTAATTACACCTCTCAAGAGACAGGATACTTGAGTGTATGAACATGAGCATGTTGTATTTGTATAAGTCACAGCAGATTGTGCAGTAACTCAAAACATCATTATTATTTAAGGTTAATATAATAATCTTATGCAAGGATCATAACTGTTAGATTATCTTAAGGTGCATTCAATTAGGCCTCCACAATCAGAGCTTGCTTTGAAGCAAAGCACAAAAATGTTGAGCTCGCCAGCTCTTCTTCACAGCTATTGAAATGGCCAGTTCATGCAATTACTCTATCACGGCTTTCAGAGACCCTCCCCCATATCACCTTCACGTTAAGCCCCCATCCCAAATGGGGCAGCACAAAGTCTATGTGGCAGCCATTTGGGAAGAGAGTCGTTCACTGTGATGGATGCATAAGAAAGCAACACGTTGTCCCAGCAAGGTGCCGCGGAGCTGCGCTCTACTTCAGCCACCTTTTAACCACCATGTCGCAGTGTGAAATGATTCATTTGCGTTGGCAGACGGCCGTATATCCATGGCGAGGGAGAAATCCCTGTTCTAAATCTCACACCCTCTGTTACATGTTTATGCAGCTGGATTGTTTTATTGGGCCAATTAAATGAAGTTGTGATAATTGAGCATAAGTATCAGGGTGGGGAACAGGGGCAGTCCAGCTGTCAACTGCTGGGCTCCATGAAATCCTAAACAAAGCTCTTTACACCTGTGCTCTTTAAATATTACAGCTGTGTGATGAAAAACAATAGAGGG